AGTCTCCCAGGCCACGCCCCCGGGAGGGCTCCGAGGATTCCAAAGGGGCGGGCCCGGGACGCCCCACCTCCCCACCCTCTCTTTCGCCTCTCCTGCCGTGGCGCGCCTGCGCGAACCAGCCCAGTCCCAAGCCCCGGTCGCTGTTCCAAGCGCCGGTCGCGGGCGAGAAGTTTGGGGCTACCGGACCTAGCCGGAAAGTTTCGGAAATCGGGACCCCGCCACGGTCCTTCTCCTCCCACCCACCCCTCCCAAGGCATGGGGAACTCCCTGCCACAAGAGGCATGTCGCCATCACCCTGCTTTGGCTCAGGGAGAAGATGATTGGCCTGTTGTGCCCATGAGAAGCGGTTGGGAGGCGGAGGCAGAGAAACTAGTCAGTTCAGTCAGAGAAACAAGAGTTTGGAGAAAGGGTTTTTTTTGGGGTGGGGGGGTTTGAGGCACAGAGAAAGAGTGTTTAAGGAGTGATTAGTCAGAGGGTGACCTGCGTTAATTAAGACAGGAGAGGTTAAAGTAAAATACTGAAGCTTGGGGGACTACAGTACAGTACAAGAATGGGCTTAAGAACTAGTCCTGAAACAACCTGCAATCAATCAACCTGTTTCTGTTTGGAAATTCAGTCCTGGATGGACCTCCATTTTTCATAGGACATACAGGGTGATAGGTTTGGTGAAAACAAGCCGGGGCCACACAGGGCGAAACACCCCCAGGGGTGTCCAGCGGCAGGATATGAAAGAAATACCATGAAGCCGAGGTTTAAAAGTGGATTTTCTAGAGTTGTGGGGACCTTTTTTAGTCAGTGGTCTGTGGCGAAGAAGTGGGTGACCCGCTAGAGCTTTTTGTGGGAAAAACTTAGTGGCGGAGCTTCTGAACTCAGATCCTGAAAGGGGGGGACTAAAAGAGAGGGAACCGACTGTGAAGGAAAAAATCTTTTTTGTTGTTGTTCACCTCAGAATTTGAGAGACACCCCGTGGGCCAGCTTGAAAGCCAAGTCTCTGAGAGATATAAGGGAGCAGGAGTTGAATAAAAGTGGGAAGACCGGGTCAGGGCAGATCTGAGGTGACAGGAAATTAAAAAGCAGAAGGCTTGAAAAATAAAATTATTTTGGAGTCTTGAGAGCAAGAATAGCCCAGATGCAGAGACAGTAACGAACAGGTTGTGAGCTAGAGAGCAGCTGAGGAAAGCACCATGACATAGTTACTGGAATAAACAGCAGAAAGACAAATAAAATAAAATAAAGTGCTTTTGAAAAGCAGAACAGACTTTAGAGACTAATTCACTCAATGATCTCAAGGCCACCTAAACAGAGGTAGAAAGGGAGTCGGGAGGCAAAAATTTTACCTCAGGAAATGGAGGGAAACAGAGACCCTCTATGTAGCTCCAGGGGAACAGGAGGAGACGGAGGAAGAAAATGCCTCAGAAAGAGACAAGGTGCCTTTAAGCTCCCAGAGTTTGAAAAATGGCATTTGGAACAGGATAATTGTGTGGGTGATGCTTCCTTTGGCCAGCTTTCTGGACAGCCTAGCATGGTGTTGTTTGCCCAGGTGTGAAGTGGGGTTTAGACATGGCCTGGCCTTTTCTTCATGGCCCGTTATCAGACCTGCTGGATCGCTCTGGGTTTGAGGCCTCCGGCTGCGGAGCCTGAGGTGGGGAGTTAGAATCCCCCCCGCGGCCTCCTTAACAGGGGCTGGACTGGATAGTTTGAGGCCTCCGGCTGCGGAGCCCGAGGTGGGGAGTTCGAATCCCCCCCTGCGGCCTCCTTAACAGGGGCTGGACTGGATGATCTCAAGGGTCCCTTCCCACTCGGCTGTTCTGAGATGATGATGACATCTTTGTGCCAGAGAACCATCATGGCCCGCTCAGAAAAACTTCACATTCCCACCGATTGTGGGAAATTAAAAAACTCCAGAAGGGTGGTGGTGGTGGTGGAAGGGAGGGACGCGAGAGGGATCCCCCCTCCCTTGTCTGACATCATCTGCGTTATTCTGGGACTTGTATACCTTTGACATGGATGAGGTTATCCTTAACCTCCCAGAGTTTTGGGAATGAACTCACAGGCATTGCCTCATGGTTTTGCATGTAACGTGACCCGCCCAGCCATAAAGACGAAAGGGAACCATCTGGCGCGCGGAGAAAAAACCCCAAGCGACACCCCACTAAGTTGAAACAACACCCGGAGAGAACCTGCCGAGGAATGAAAGGAAGCGGCCGCGATTGGGGCTCCACCCCGAATTCCCCACGGCTCTTGCAGCTGGGACCCCACCCTTGCAATGGGGGAAATCCTTCCTGCCGGGCTGGCCGGCCTCCTTTTCCAGCAGGCCGCGGGTCCTTGAGATCTCTTGATGTAGACCTTCTGGAGAACAGCCCCGACCCGTGGGTCTCCTTCCTCCAAACTAGAAGGCCCTCATTGACAAAATATCTGGTTCAAGACGGGGTTTAGTTCTCTGGTGGGGAGTTCGAATTCCCCACAGGGCCTCCTTGACCAGGGCTGGACTGGATGACCCAGAGGGACCCTTCCAGCTTCGCCACTCTAAAATGACTGGTATATAAGTTAGTGGCCGTTTCCCCCCTCTCCAAAAGTGCAGGAGCCCTTCCGAAAAATTTCACTGGGGACCGCGGGAGAGACGCCACCTTCTCCCGGGCAGCCCGAGGGCTGGCTTTGTTGAGAAAACGAAATAAACAGCTTTCCTCGGGATTTTGGCTCCGAGCAGCCAAAGCCGATTAATTTGGTGAGTTGGGCTACAAAGCAATGGAAACACTTAATTAGCGGCTAGGAAATACAGCGGCAGAAGGTGGGGTGGCCAGCTGGAAAGCTGACCCGGGACCTCAGAGGAAATGGGGTAGAAGGTGCCTCGTCACACCGAATTTGCACAAGTTTGCAGGCTTCACACATCTGACAGTTACCAAATCCCCCTGAGCTTGGGGCTGGGCCCCCTCTCGCACGCATCTGAACGAGGCCGGGCTGGTTTCTTTCCCTTGGAGTCAGGGGGCCGGTTTCCTCCTGCTTAAGAAAGCTTTCCAGCGTAAAATGTGCAGTTTTTACGAAGGGTGCATATAAACACACACGCCTGAGTGTACACAACTCATCATGTAGCCACAACCATCTCATCCAGAGCTGCAAAATGGGGCTTAACCAGGCTTGGTTCCATCACCATGCCATGAAATCCGGGCTTGCAATAGTTCCCTTTTTCATTCTATAGCTTCCATGCTGTCAGGTGGGAATAATATATACTGGAAAGTCAGAGCGGGAAGGGACCCGGGAGACCATCCAGTCCAGCCCCTGGCAAGGAGGCCCAGTGGGGGGATTCGAACTCCGAACCTCGGGCTCTGCAGCTCGAGACCTAAACCCCAGAACTATCCAGCAGTTTTTATTATATTATATTATCTTGCAGTGTTTCAAACTGAAATAAAGAAGCTGAGTTGGCATCCGGGCTGTTCCCAATGACTCGTTTGGAAAGGATGTGTGTTCCGTTAGCCACCCACGTTTAATCAACGTTAATTGGGGAGTGGGGAGAGCCGCGACATGAAATGGCCTCGGTCTTCCTTGAGCCCTAAAAACGGCAATCCTGTGCGTGCGATGCTTCGGACGGCGGGCGGAAACGCAGGAACAAAAGACTCCGGCACGCTTCGGGATGCAGGCCGCCGACGCCATGCGGCGCATGGAGCGCCTGCTGAACCAGGAGCGAACTGGCCGGAGGAGCGGAATGAACAACCTGCAAATTATTCCTGCAAATTAAGGAGAAATGTTTCCCCCCCCCCACTTAATGACTGGAAATGCCTTTAATTGCTTGGCTGCGCTAATCCTCCCCAGGTCCGTTAGATCTTTCGCCGCCGGGCGGCTCCAGGAAGAACCCGGGTGCTTGTGGCGCAGCCGGGGGGTGGTGGTTATTTACCATTGGAGGGTGAGTTTCCGGATGTCTTGGGGGGGGGAGAGAAAGTGGCATTTTTTAAATTTTACTCACAGGAAGGGGAGACACGGTAATCCCATAAGTCTTCATTAGCCTAAAAAGGCAGAAATGGCAGCCAGGGAGGCGTCAGCCGGAGCCGCAGCACTTCTGTCAAGCAGTGTGCGTGCGTGCGCGCGTTTGTGTGTGTGTTGAGGGGGGGCAGCTTTGAGAGAGGAAGCAGCCTGGGCATTGTGCCACACAACTGGCCAACTAACTGGCTGGAAAAAAGCAGCCTTTCTCCAAATTTCTTGATCTCCAGAAAGTGTGGCTGAATAGCTACTGGTCCAAACTGGGATAGAAAGCTTGGGCCTTAAATCCTTGCTCATGAACCGTTTGTGCTCTTGATCCCATTGCGGAGGAGATACTTTCCTCTAGGAGTGCAGGGAGTCACCGAGCCGAATCAGCTTCAAGTTCTCCCGGCGCGTCATCCGCTGGCACTTACAGGCTCGATAATGCACTCGGGAGACCTTTGAAGCCAGAAGGCGAAAAGGTTTCAATGACTTAACAGTTCTGAAAGGATCGAACGGCAAACTGAGGAAACACAGCTGCTTTGAGCAACGGGCCGCAACCCACGAACTGCTTCCTACAGAAAAAAAGGGAGAGCGAAAAAGACAGTGGAGGGGCAGAGCTCTCTTTGAATCAGAAGCAGGAAGAAGAAGGATTGGTTAGTGATGGATAGACGGACAAGCCACCCCCTGCCCAGAAAAGCTTCTCCCTGCCAAAATCAAATAAGATCCCGCATGTGAGGTTGTAATAAATCCATCAGTTTCCAGAATTCGGCCTTCCATCTGCACAAACGGTGTTTCATAACAAGTGTTTGCTATTAACATAGTGTTTGCCGTAATCCGCATTTTTCAGCATCCGCTGGGGATGGGGCTTGGAACCAATCTCCCGTGGATATGGCGGAGTCCTACCCTACAATAATTAAAGAAAAACTGTTGTCAAGAAAGTTACGTATGTGTGTTGTGCGTGCATGTTTTCTGGAGGGTTTTTTTTCTACCTGTTTTTTTTTTAATTCTCCAAAATACAAACAATATGTATATAAATTAGGAATAAACCTCATCAGGTCCTAATCACAGTTCCAGAATATGTATCGTCCTATTTGAAGATAAGGAATAAATGATGAAAAATAGGTGGGAAGGCTTGTGTGTGTGTTTTTATGCCTGCCTAGGCTGAAACACTGCATTTATAGGCGTGCCGCAGACTCTGTCTGTGAAAACAGGGAGTTAAAATCTCCCGAGACTAACATTCAAAAAATCACAAAGCAGCAGGAGAGGAAAACTCCAGCCTGAGCCCATTCGAAAGCGGCGGGGGGGGGGGAGATCTAAGGGCAGGAGACAAGAGGGTCCCCCTCAGAGCACCTGACCTCTCCAAGACCACGAGGTCTTGGCACTTCCGCAGAGGTGGGTGGGATGGGGGGGGAGAAAGCTGGACTTTAAACCTCCCCAAAAGTCAGATCGGCTGGTTATCTTGCCCCCTTGGCCCACTGGGCAGGAAGGAGAGAACTCCAGGGAGCCAAATGGTTTACGCCATTCCTTGCACGACAGAAGCAGAGACAGACAGAGAGAGATGTGGGTCATCAGGATGGTCAGATGGCCAAGGAAACTCACGCTGCTCACTGAATGGGCCCGGGTATTTCTGAGACCCAACCAGGAAGCCTTCTCCGGGACCCCAACGTCTCCCCAAAAATGCACATTTCCTGGGCCAAAAGAGACCGATCTTTTATTTCCGAAGGCAATACACCCGTCGGGCTTTAAAACGTGACACTCTGGGGGCCAGAAGGACAGGCCCTAATCCTACAACTGGCCATGCCCTAAAAGAGATCCAGAGTCCCTTTGGCTTTCCTAGCATTCAAACCTGAGCCTGCCATCCAGTGGCAGGATGTTCCACAGGGAAATGGCGACAGGTCAGGTCACAAAGCAGAAATCTTTCTTCGGAGAGGCCTCGGGCAGGAGAAGGAAGGAGGCGTCATCCATGCTTAAGACTTCCGGGGTCTTCTTGGGGGGGCGGCGGCGGCTCCAGCAAGTGGACGGGGAGCAAATCCGGACTTACCGCACGGGGCCCGGAGTTATGCGTAGGAGAGTTGAAAAGAAGCAGGGATGTGACCTTGGCTTTTTGGGTCTTGACAGGCAGCTGGTGGCTCCCCCTGGAGGCAGAAGGAAGCAAGGATTCAGAGCTATAGGGACAGCCGGGCACTAATCCACACCCTCTAATCTTTAACCCTGCAAACGAGGGCAAGGAAAAGTTACAGCTGGACCTTGGTTTCCGTGGGGACATGGTTTTCAGTGGATGCAAAAAAACACGGATAATAGCAAACATAAATTGGTATCCACTGATTCACTCATCCACGGTCTTAAAATATTAAAAAATGTTAAAAACGCATGGTTTTCAGCGGATGCCAAAAAACACGGATAATAGCAAACATGAAATTGGTATCCACTGATTCACTTATCCATGGTCTTAAAATATTAAAAAATGTTAAAAACATGAAAAGAACATTTCCTGGAAATATATATTTCTAAAGATGAAGTTACAGAACTGGCCAATGGAGAGAACCAAAGACCATGCTCTCTCTATAGAAGTTGCTATTATAACAGCGTTTGCTACAGTCCGTGTGAGGCAGCATCCACGGGTGGGAGGGGAAACTTGGAAAAATTACTTTTGGGAAACTACCGCTCTGGAATTCCCTGCCAGCAAAAAAGTAACTTTACAGTTAAACTCTCTTGGATACCAAGATGGTGTCTATCATATATATGATGGACACTTCTTTAAAACTTTGAATATTGTCTTTTCAAGCCCAGAAAACCCGAGAGGTACTCACCTTGTACAAGTCGCAAACCAGGCGGAAAAGGGACATCTGAGCTGCACTCTGGAGTTTGTCCGTGTGGTTCTAGGAGAAATAAAAAGGGATCAGGGGAGAAAAGGTTCCACCATCACAGTTGCTGAGCGAGGCAGAGGCGTTGGTAAACAGCTGGACTCCATTTTCTGCTGGCATTTTTGAAAGAGCGTAACCAAGACAGTAGGTTCCCCCCTATCCACAGGACCGGTATCCGCTGTTGAGTTTATCCGCTACCTGAAAATACTAAATAAAGTAATTGAGATAATCAAACGTGGTGGCACAGCCTTTTTCTAAAAAAAGAGCCAGCCATTGCTCTTCCTGAGCCCCACCGTCAAAGGTTTTGCCGTCATCCATAAAGCAGATGATTTTGTCCTGAAGTTCTTTGGTGCACTCCAACCTACATTTGCAATATGGTCTCTATGGCCGCTTCTTTTTCTGAATCCAGGTGGAAAACCTGCCATTTCTTACTCCATATATGGTCTAGCTCTTTGTTGCACACCACGAGCATTATTTTGCTTGTGTAGGACTTTAACGCAAGGGTCCCAGAGCTCCTGCATTTTTAGACATCCTTTTTCTTCGGGACCCCAGAATGTACAGTAGGACCACGGTATACGCAGGGGATCGATTCTAAGACACCCCCCCCATGGATGCTGAAAAACAGATTATTTAATAGCCAATGCTATCCATAACATGGTCTCTGGCTCCCTCTTGTGGCCAGGCCTAGTAACATCACCTTTTGAAATATATCTTTCTAGGATTTTTCTTTTATTTATTTATTTACTATTTTCAGCCCACCGAGAAGCGAATCCACTGATGCTAATCCCATAGACACAGCGTCCTACCAGATGTGAATCAGATAACTAAGAATCAGCCGCATACGTACCCCGTTGATGACAATCCACGGCACATACTTATGGGGCGGTGTCAGGGCCCTGGTGCGCTCAGCGTTCTGATGCATCAGTTTGTTGCCCAGATCCCCGTTGACGCACGCTGTGATGTTGGCCAACGAGGCAAAGGGCGCATACATCTTCAGGCACTAGAAGAGCAGAGCATGGGGCAGCCTCGTTATTTTCCTGTTTCGGATTTAAGTTCCAAGAATAGGAACCTTAATGCCCGCACACCGCCCGGGGGGAGGGAGAATGCAGAGAGAGAGCCTTGGCCAGCACATCAGGGCATGAACCTTTGGGACTGTGCGCCACATGCTCAGAAAGCGTGACCCAGGTGGCACGATTTTGCAAGGCGCATGAAAATGCAAAGAAAAACTTTACGAACAGCCCCAACAGGATCGACACCACCGTGTGCCTGTGGCATGATCCTCTGCAGCAGAGGCTTGTGGCCATGGGTCCCTGTCTTTTCTCCATTCCAAGGCCCCGCGGATACTGAAATGTGTGGATGATGGCAAACACAAACGCTATTTTAGGCTGCATCAACAGATGCCATGTCTCCAGATACTGTGAAGGACTAGTCTTGCTCTATCCAGCACTGGTTAGGCCTCCTCTCGAGTCCTGGGTTCCTGTTGATACCCTGGACACCCCAGTTGAAAAAGGATGCCAGCAAACTGGAACCAGTTCAGAGGAGGGCAAGAAGGAGGATCAGGGGGCTGGAAACCAAGCCCTATAAGGAGGAAAGAACCGGGCCGGTTTAACCTTTCTGGTGGCAATGAGGGCCAATGTAACTTGGACCTTTTTTTTCTAAGTTACTTATAAACAGTTACTTGTAACTGCTCCAGCTTTATCCTGCTCCCAGGAATCAAGAGAAACCTGCAAACTCACAAGTTCCTTGCCAGAGACTGCCCTGAAAACTAAAGTCCATGAATTTCTTTCCAACATAACTGGTAACAACAAGAAATCATTTTTCAAGCCCCAGAGCAAAGCAACAGGAATGGATCCTTCGAAAGCCACCGCAGGTCCACCCCTTGGATTTACCGTTGACAGGTTCTCAGTGACGTTGCCGCTCGACTCCATGCAGAAGATGAAGGGGAGGGGAGACTCCAAGCCTTGTAGCTCATACATGAGGCAGGTCTAGGGAAGAAACGGGCAAGCATTAGTATCGGGGAGGGGGAGAGCCCAGAGCAGAAAGGGCGAGTGCAGGAAAACAGCCGGAGAGAAGCTTTTCTGAGGCTGTCTTTCTGGTTAAATCTCGAGTGATGAAATGACTCAAGGACCCCTGTCTCCGCGGGGAATCAATCGCAAGTCCCATTGCGGATGCTGAAAACCGTGGATAATAGCAAACTCTCTTTTAGAAGCACTCTCTCTAGCGTCTGGCTCCCTCTAGTGGCCAGTTCTGGTAGCTTCAGCTTCAGAAATCTATATTTCTAAGGTTTTTCTTCTAATGTTTTTAACACACGCTCCGACAAAATGAATCTGCGGATACCGATCCCATGGATAAGGGGGGGGGGTGTCCTGCTGTAATCAGCAGCACCTACCTCCATCATGTTGCCCAGGCATTCCTGTTCACCATGCTGGCACTCGAACTTCCACCCGGAAGGGCTCTGGGTCTCCTGGCAAGGTGACAGGGAAGGGGATCAGAAGAAACCGTGGGGACCCCAACCCACCCCCCTCCGAGAAACCAGGCCTGACCTTGGCGTTCCCATAGGGGACCAGGGTGACGTTCATGATGTTGTAGAGCATCAGCCAAGTGGGGAAGAGCTGGAAGATGATGAAAAGCCGGCACCCGGGACACAGACTTTCATAGTAAAGGCTGATCGAGACACGGTCCGCCGGCGGGGGCTCAGGGGCCAGCGTGGCGCAGTGCTTCTCGGCCTGGGGGGGAAGAGAGAGAGAGAGATCGGGGCAGGTGCCAGGAGCTGGCTTGGCTGCCCGGGCATTTAAAAAACAATAATAAAAGCCTGTTCTCCAGGTTGGATGGGGCAATAGGGTGGCGGTGCCCTTCTAAAAATGGGTGCCCGACTGGGCAAGACAGCCACAGTGGATGGGGACACGAGACAGGGCCTTCTCGGTGGTGGCTCCCACATTGCCGGATGCTCTCCCTCGGGGTGTGTGTCAGGCTGGCCCCGATTTTCTATCCTTCCGCCGACAGCTGAAGGAATCCCCCCCCCTTTTAAGGCCAGCTTTGAACCATCACGACGCCTTTTCAGGTTTAGTTTTTCTCACTGGCCTGTTTTTCATTCTTCGAGGGTCTTTTAATTAGCAGTCCAGTTTAAACGTTTTTTAATGTTTTTTTAACGTCTTGCGTTTTGAATTGGGGTCTTTATATAACATGGCAAGCCCCTTCCAGCCCCCTGACCCGTGAGGAAAAGCGGCCTAAATATATACAAAACAGATAACGAAACAAAAGAACCGCCAGCCGTGAATCCTGTCGGCTCGGTGGGTGGGAGCGCTTAGTGCGAAAAGCCCTTTTGTGTGTGTGTGTGTGTGTGTGTGTGTGTGAGTGAAAAGTTCCTTTTTAAAGACTTCCTGTCCCATACAGGCAACCCTATTGTTTTAAGGTTGGTGAGAGGTTGAAGGCGTTCCCAAACCAGGATTTGAACCTGGGTCTCCGGAGCCTTCATCTGGTCCGCCACCCCACAGGGTCTCTTCTCCAAGGATCACAGGAACAGCATCATCATCACCCGGATAAATAAATAATCTCAGTAAATAAGATCCATAAATACATAAGGGCAGAGCTGCAAAGGGATCCTCGAGATCATCCAGTCCAACCCCGGTCAAGGAGACCCCGTGGGGGATTCGAACTCCCAACCGGTTAAAGACAGAAACCCCTGAGCTATCCAGCTTTAGCACAGAGGGAGGACTTGGGGGGGCAGATCTCGCCAAGCTTTTCAGGGGCCTCCGCCCCACACGCGCAGAAGCAGCAGGAAAGGGGGCTGCCCCCCCTCCCCTGCCTGCAATTTTAACAAAAGCGAAGTGAAACCAGCCGCCTTCGGTGGCGGGGAGGAAGGAGGAAGGCCGTGGGACAGAGAGGATGATGGAAAAGTCCCTCGGCTCGCTTCTGCCCCATGGCGCCCTCCTCTTCCCACTTTCACAGGGAAGTGAAAGGAGCTTGACAGGCCTGGACTCAGAGACAGGACTCCCCCCCCCCCGCCTTTTGGGGCTCTCCATGAGGACTTGGAACTTGGGGGGGATGGAGAAGGAAGGAGGATTTCGGGGCAAGGGAAGGAAGGTTTCCCCAGCTGGCAGAATCGGGGCCATGAAAATGACATCGGTGGGTCTCCGAGGCCACCCGGGCTGGCAAGCTGGCTAGGGCATTTTTTGGGGGGCGGGGGACTCCCCGACCAGCTTGACCGGGAAGACCCCCCCCTCCCCAACCTGCGCCCCCCCCAGCACGAGCTGGGCGCGGCTGCCTGCCGCCCTTCTTCACCACCGATCATTAACGGGGAGGGGGGGGGAGGAAAAAG